ACACGCGCGCGCGCGCTCACACACACGCAAACACAATCACACACACACACACGGTCCTGCCACCACCACCAAACATCCATCACGGATTCTTTACTATTTTGATAGTTTTCGGTTAAAATTTGACTTTTTTTGGCCCTTTTATACCAAAATTGACTAAAATTGAGTGGTTTGCTGGGCTATTTGTCTTTTTATATCCCAAACCTGATATAAACTAGCATTACTTGTAATTTGAAACCATTCCGAGCGACCTGAGCAGATTTTCAATTTTTGCACAAATACATAAAATTAAATAAATGTTTCACAGGGTACTTCAAGAATGCCAATACGAGGATTTTGGGGGAATTTTGATATGTTGTAAAGGAATGTCTAATGAGTCGAAAACCGTTGAAAAAAAGTGTGAGCGATTTTTTTCCAGCTTTGGGCAGTTTTTGAGCTATCTTTCCTGGACTAAAAGGAAAACAAACTGTTAAGCCTCGTGCAGTCGTCACAGCAGGAGCCATTATACCGCAACAGAAAATTCCAGAGAGGCAGAGGGATGTGAAGGGCGGAACGGCGCGGCAAAAAGGTAACTGAGACAATTAAATCTAAAATTCAACTCAATTTAAGAAAGTTTACGAATTTCTATAAAACTATATCATTGGAGCTATTTTGATGCATTTACACTGGTCGTGTCCGTGGGAACCGGAACGGCGGCAGTGGTGTGAGCAGAGCATCGGGGGCGTAGGGGTTAGCCGACACTCCAGTGGAGGAGGTCAAACTTCCAAACTTGTACAAGCCCGCAGCATCCGAGCGGGTGAGCGAGAGAGCGAGCGAGAGAGCGAGCAAGTGAGGGAGCGAGTGAGAGAGCGAGCAAGTGAGGGAGCGAGTGAGAGAGCGACAGAGAGAGATAGGAGGGGGCGCAAAAACAGTGAGCCTGAGCCTTGCGCTTGCCGCTGCCCCGGGGTAGGGTCCAGAGATACTTTGCTTTTGGTATCGAGAAGCACCCCCTCCCGCTGCCCTGGGGACTCCCAGCGAGGCCTCCGGTGGGACCCAGGCACAAGGGGTGGGTGGGGGAGGGCTGCTCAGCTGCGGCCTGCAACCCTTTTTATTGCCGGGCGGCCGGACCCACAGCCCCGCCCGCCCCGGGCAGAGATGCTTCTTGCAGCGGCCCGCCATGGTGGAGAAGAAGGCCGGGCGGCCCGCTGCAAACACGGCCGAGTCCTACTGTTGGGTCCCCTCCGGCCCCCGCGCCACACCGGGGCCGCTACGCCACGCCACTGCCACTCCGGCCGACGTGGCGCAACGAGGACCTCCCGCTATTGTGCATACCTCCCGCTAAGGCAAGGACTTGGAAGACCGAAGCATAGAAATTGAGCCGTTTCGTTCGCCCGCTTTACTTTCGAGTGAGTGCAAGACCCCCTAGCGCTAAGAAAAGAGAGCAGTGATGAAAGATGCCTGAGAGCAAGAGCAAGGAAAGAGAAGCGAGTGGAGTTTTCTGTGCTGCGGCAATTTCTTGTCGACCATTTGGCATGCCCTTTGTTCATATGCGAATCGAGCGAGGAGCAAGCGATTGGTCGTGCATTCGCAAAGATGCGATCGCTGCGCTGTCATCGGGGACAACGGCGCAGCCATAGCGACCTGCCTGTCTAGCGATGCATTTGACTTGACTCGACTAGACTAACCTTTGGGCTACGTCCGGGGAACGGATGAATCAAAGAATCAAACAGAAGTCGAATAAAGCAAGAGTAGAGTTAAGCGATTTGTTTTACTGAAGCGCAGAAGGTGAAAGGTTGAAAGGTTGGACGTACGCCACGCCACCCAGTACAGAACTCACATTAGCACGCAAGAGAGAGATG